TGGATGGATGATGAATGGTTGATGGATGGATGATGAATGGATGGATGGATGGATGATGAATGGATGGATGGATGGATGGATGGATGAATGGATGGATGGATGATGAATGGATGGATGGATGGATGGCTGAATGGATGGATGGATGATGAATGGATGGATGGATGGATGGATGAATGGATGGATGAATGGATGGATGAATGGATGGATGATGAATGGATGGATGGATGGATGATGAATGGATAGATGGATGATGGATGGATGGCTGAATGGATGGATGATGAATGGATGGATGGATGATGAATGGATGGATGGATGGATGGATGGATGGATGGATGGATGGATGGATGGATGATGAATGGATGGATGGATGGATGGCTGAATGGATGGATGGATGATGAATGGATGGATAGATGATGAATGGATGGATGGATGGATGAATGGATGGATGATGGATGGATGAATGGATGGATGGATGGATGGATGGATGGATGGATGGATGATGAATGGATGGATGGATGGATGGCTGAATGGATGGAAGGGTGATGAATGGATGGATTGATGATGAATGGATGGATGGATGGATGGATGATGGATGGATGAATGGATGGATGGATGGCAGAATGGATGGATGGATGATGAATGGATGGATAGATGATGAATGGATGGATGGATGAATGGATGGATGGATGGATGGATGATGAATGAATGGATGGATGGATGGCTGAATGGATGGATGATGAATGGATGGATGGATGATGAATGGATGGATGGATGGATGGATTGATGAATGGATGGATGAATGGATGGATGAATGGATGGATGGATGGATGGATGATGAATGGATGGATGGATGGATGATGAATGGATAGATGGATGATGGATGGATGGCTGAATGGATGGATGATGAATGGATGGATGGATGATGAATGGATGGATGGATGGATGGATGATGAATGGATGGATGGATGGATGGCTGAATGGATGGATGGATGATGAATGGATGGATAGATGATGAATGGATGGATGGATGGATGAATGGATGGATGATGGATGGATGAATGGATGGATGGATGGATGGATGGATGGATGGATGATGAATGGATGGATGGATGGCTGAATGGATGGAAGGATGATGAATGGATGGATGGATGATGAATGGATGGATGGATGGATGGATGATGGATGGATGAATGGATGGATGGATGGCAGAATGGATGGATGGATGATGAATGGATGGATAGATGATGAATGGATGGATGGATGGATGGATGAATGGATGGATGGATGGATGGATGATGAATGAATGGATGGATGGATGGCTGAATGGATGGATGATGAATGGATGGATGGATGATGAATGGATGGATGGATGGATGGATGGATGGATGAATGGATGGATGGATGGATGATGATGAATGGATGGATGGATGGATGGATGAATGGGTGGATGGATGGATGGATGGATGGATGGAAGGAAGGATGATGGATGAATGGATGGATGGATGGAAGGAGGATGGATGGATGGATGGATGATGAATGGATGGATGGATGATGAATGGATGGATGGATGGATGATGGATGGATGGATGGATGGATGAATGGATGGATGGATGGATGGATGGATGAATGGATGGAAGGAAGGATGATGGATGGATGGATGGATGGATGGATGGATGGATGATGAATGGATGGATGGATGATGAATGGATGGATGGATGATGGATGGATGGATGAATGGATGGATGGATGGATGGATGGATGAATGGATGGAAGGAAGGATGATGGATGGATGGATGGATGATGGATGGATGGATGATGGATGGAAGGATGATGGATGAGCATTAAACCATCATCCTCAGATCATGCAGATCTTGTCTCATTCAGTTTCCTTTTACTGTCTCTTATTTTTTATAATGAGGAACTTTCATAGATCCAAACTGGGGGGAAGAAAACTGGACCTAAGCCTGGATCTGCTCACCGTAACACAGGGCAGCTGTGACCCAATATGATTACAGACTTCTGCTGCTTCCTCGTCTTTTTTAGATTTGGTTTGCTCCGCTCCTCATCTATATGTTAACAGCTACCAAACAGCTAGCCAACAGCATTTTCTGCACACATCATGCTCATGCACTCTTTCTACCGTAATAACAGTCTACACACAACATTTCCCCCCTCATTCATAAAATGGTAAAATCAAGGAGTTTTCCGTAGATGGTACTGTACCAGGGTTCAAGTAAACTCGATCAGCTCTTCCTAGCCGTGCACGCTCACGGTGAAGCGATACAACTTCTGTTGAGGATAACTACCTTGGCACAACAACGGCTTTAGCTGGGGACAGGTGGCCCAAAATGGGAATGTCTATTCACCATAATCAAAGGTTTCTTCTCAGGCGCCTATGAGGGAACCAGTAAGGCAGATGACCTTTGAGTTGGTTTATATCACAAAAAAGGGTAGAAATTAGGACATTAAGTTAGTCAGGGTACAAACTATATGGAGGTACTGTGCATTTGTGGATGTTGACACTCTTCTGACACCATATTCTACCTTCATACACCTACAATATACAGTCTGGCCAGGATGGAACTGAGGGCTACTTTATTCGACTTAAGGGCGGAAATTTAAAAACTTCTGCCAGCAGTGGTGATGCTGGATTTAAAGCTTACAGCTACTTCTTCGAGTTGGACCACAGCTCCAGAGTTTCCAACACACACAGCTTGATCTCTAACAGTAAAGTTGGAACTCTATCCGTAAGACTATGGGCATAGATTTATGGAGCTAGAAGAGTCTCAATATCCTCTAATGCAAGATCTGCACATCCATAATAATTAGCATCACTGCACGTGATGTAATCAGTTCCTTTGCTCCTAAGCTACAAAAGCGACGGTCCAATGCATCTGTGACAATAGCTGGTGATTTTAATCATGCATCACCTGCAGTGAAAGGAAATGTGAGAAGATGGTTACTGGAAGCTGAAAAAGATTGCAAGGTTGCTTTGAGATTACAGGTGACAAAGAAATCACTGGAAAGACTGATTGTGCAAGGACCAGGGTTTGAGACGGCCGTGAGTACATGAGAACTGCATTTCTACGTACCGGTAATCATTTTCACAGGAGGCACAATATTTTATTTATCATTATCTATCCATCTTTCTTCTCCCACTTCATCTGTCAGGGTCACTATGGCGCAGGTGCTTGTCTCCAGGGATCTGTACACCATACTTTTTAAAAATCATTCAATCCGTTAGCCAAATGAACTCTTCCTATGAAATGGTTCAGAAAACCAGACTCTTTACCAAACTAGACCTCCATAAAGCCAATGGTCATTATATAACCTCAGCAGACTTCCAGGCTTTGGTTATTGAAATTATAGGAGAAATGGTAGAAGAGTATGTGTTTGTTTAACTTGATGATATCATGATTTATTCCAATCGTCTAGAGTCTCATAATTTCTGCCACTCTGCAGAATCTGCCAATCAGTCAATCTCTAACGTTCTGCTCTCTCTGCTTTTTCTCATAGTAGCTTCATCTGGTCTGTTCCTGTTTGGCTGTGACTCCATCCTGGAGAGAAATATCAGCTGTGCTGCTGCCATCAACACCTTTGTTTCTAGATGCTGGAGCTTGGCCTGTTTTCCAGTGTAGTCCTGTTTCTCTGACTGTGACTAACTGGATGTGCTCTCTTCATCCTCTGACATGGGAGCTGGCCTGGAGCTCGTCTGCCTGGCTGTTTGTTTCCTGGACGGGGCCGCCTGTGGAGCTGGTTGACAGTTGCCTTTGGTATCTATGCTTCTTTTTCTATGTCTGCTTCTGTCTCCTTGAACCCCAGTCGGCCTCAGCAGATGGCCGCTCACACTGAGCCTGGTTCTGCTGGAGGTTTCTTCCTGTTCAAAGGGAGTTTTTCCTCTCCACTGTCGCTACAAGCATGCTTAGTGTGAGGGATTGCTGAAGAGTCAATGAGTCGATGCAATCAGCTGGTTTTCCTTAGATAGAAAACTTTTAATCAATCTGACTGGATGATCTGGTGAACTGTAAAGTGAACTGAGATGACATGTGTTGTGAACTGGCGCTATAGAAATAAACTGAACTGAATTGAAACAGGTGTTGGTGGAAACTCTTCCACCGAGATTTATAAATACCACCTATAGTGATACTAAAAAACGGATTGGTGTTAACCATGAGTTGGTTCTAGCTCTTAATGAAAATATGACAATAGTTATTTAAAAAAAAGGACAATCCATTTTGAATGAAGATCAATAAAATCACTGGAAAGTTTTTTTATGCCTGTTTTAATGTTGTTAATTCTCTTACCCAACCAAGTTACCACTGATCCTTCCTTCAGATTTCTAGAATTATGTAGTTGAGCTGAAGGCAGAGTTGGTTTCTAAAGATGGTAGAAGAATACATCCAAAGTAGAGTAACATGGCATTTATAAAGAAATTAAGTAATGACGTAAAATCCACTGTCAATGGGAAATATATATACTGAGGTGGAGACTAAAAGGACAATGACTGGAGTTAATGTACTAAGTGGGAGCAGGTTTGCAGAGAAGGTACTAGAAGGAAACTCACCCCAAGATTCCACATCCTCCATCACCGCTCCGCCCCACGCATATACGGCTTGTGCGGAGCACGGGTCACCATCTGCGGGTGGACCTATTCGTCCGTTTCAATATGCATGTTTTCTAAACAAAAACAAGGCTTTGTTGGGCTGCTGTATAAAACCTGTAACTCAACGCTATTCCAGACATTTTAATTGAAAAAGCTTCCTGGATGGGAAAAGAAAGTTTTTTGGAATGGCTATGACCTGGATGATTAAGAATTTTTACCAGCATAATACAATTTTATATGATCCTAATTCTCCCTTACAAAGAACCACAAAGAAAAAATAGTGTTTGGGCAGAAACGTGTGATTGATGCTGATGGTGAGATTTAGTGATGTCATAATAAATGAAGCTTTCATTACAGCAGGTTTTTATGATATTATCGTGCATAATCTCCTCCAACTTCAGGGAAGTTGGAGCAGAGCAAGACAGGAGGAATAGCAGGGCGGGGTGTAGCAGGGCGGGGGATAGCGGGGCGGGGTGTAGCTGGGCGGAGTGTAGCAGGGCGGGGGATAGCGGTGCGGGGTGTAGCAGGGCGGAGTGTAGCAGGGCGGGGGATAGCAGGGCGGGGTGTAGCTTGGCGGAGTGTAGCAGGGTGGAGTGTAGCGGGGCGGAGTGTAGCAGGGCGGGGTGTAGCTGGGCGGGGTGTAGCGGGATGTAGCCGGGCGTGGTGTAGCAGGGCGGAGTGTAGCAGGGCGGGGTGTAGCGGGGCGGAGTGTAGCAGGGCTGGGTTGTAGCCGGGCGGGGTGTAGCGGGGTGGAGTGTAGCGGGGCGGGGTGTAGCGGGGTGGAGTGTAGCAGGGCGGGGTGTAGCAGGGTTGAGTGTAGCCGGGCGTGGTGTAGCAGGGCGGAGTGTAGCAGGGCGGGGTGTAGCGGGGCGGAGTGTAGCAGGGCTGGGTTGTAGCCGGGCGGGGTGTAGCGGGGTGGAGTGTAGCGGGGCGGGGTGTAGCGGGGTGGAGTGTAGCAGGGCGGGGTGTAGCAGGGTTGAGTGTAGCAGGGCGGGCTGTAGCTTGGCGGAGTGTAGCAGGGTGGAGTGTAGCAGGGCGGGGTGTAGCTTGGCGGAGTGTAGCAGGGTGGTGTGTAGCAGGGCAAAGTGTAGTGGGGCGGAGTGTTACAGGGCGGGGTGTAGCTGGGCAGGGTGTAGCTTGGCGGAGTGTAGCAGGGTGGAGTGTAGCAGGGCGGGGTGTAGCTTGGCGGAGTGTAGCAGGGTGGAGTGTAGCAGGGCAAAGTGTAGTGGGGTGGAGTGTAGCAGGGCGGGGTGTAGCTGGGCGGGGTGTAGCGGGGCGGAGTGTAGCAGGGCTGGGTTGTAGCTGTGCGGGGTGTAGCGGGATGTAGCCGGGCGTGGTGTAGCAGGGCGGAGTGTAGCAGGGCGGGGTGTAGCGGGGCGGAGTGTAGCAGGGCTGGGTTGTAGCCGGGCGGGGTGTAGCGGGGTGGTGTGTAGCGGGGCGGGGTGTAGCGGGGTGGAGTGTAGCAGGGCGGGGTGTAGCAGGGTTGAGGGTGGAAGGGCGGGGTGTAGCTTGGCGGAGTGTAGTAGGGTGGAGTGTAGCAGGGCAGGGTGTAGCTTGGCGGAGTGTAGCAGGGTGGAGTGTAGCAGGGCAAAGTGTAGTGGGGCGGAGTGTTACAGGGCGGGGTGTAGCTGGGCAGGGTGTAGCGGGGTGGAGTGTAGCAGGGCGGGGTTGTAGCTGGGAGGGGTGTAGCAGGGCAGAGTGTAGCAGGGCGGTTTGTAGCTTGGCGGAGTGTAGCAGGGTGGAGTGTAGCAGGGCGGGGTGTAGCTTAGCGGAGTGTAGCAGGGTGGAGGTTAGCAGGGCAAAGTGTAGTGGGGCGGAGTGTAGCAGGGCGGGGTGTAGCTGGGCGGGGTGTAGCGGGGCGGAGTGTAGCAGGGCTGGGTTGTAGCTGGGCGGGGTGTAGCAGGGCAGAGTGTAGCAGGGCGGGGTGTAGCGGGGCGGAGTGTAGCAGGGCTGGGTTGTAGCTGGGCGGGGTGTAGCGAGGTGTAGCAGGGCGGGGTTGTAGCTGGGCGGGGTGTAGCGGGGCGGAGTGTAGCGGGCTGGAGCGTAGCAGGGTGGAGTGTAGCGGGGCGGAGTGTAGTGGGTTGGAGCGTAGTGGGCCGAAGTGTAGCGGGTTGGAGCGTAGCGGGGTGGAGTGTAGCGGGGCGGAGTGTAGTGGGTTGGAGCGTAGCGGGGCGAAGTGTAGCAGGGTGGAGTGTAGCGGGGTGGAGTGTAGTGGGTTGGAGCGTAGCGGGGCAGAGTGTAGTGGGTTGGAGCATAGCGGGGCGGAGTGTAGCAGGGTGGAGTGTAGCGGGGTGGAGTGTAGCGGGTTGGAGCGTAGCGGGGTGGAGTGTAGTGGGGTGGAGTATAGTGGGTTGGAGTGTAGCAGGGTGGAGTGTAGCGGGGTGGAGTGTAGCAGGTTTGAGTGTAGCAGGTTTGAGCGTAGCAGGGTGGAGTGTAGCGGGGTGGAGTGTAGCGGGTTGGAGCGTAGCACGGTGGAGTGTAGCGGGGCGGAGTGTAGTGGGTTGGGGCATAGCGGGGCGGAGTGTAGCAGGGTGGAGTGTAGCGGGTTGGAGCGTAGGGGGGTGGAGCGTAGGGGGGTGGAGTGTAGCGGGGCGGAGTGTAGCGGGCTGGAGCGTAGCGGGGTGGAGTGTAGCGGGGCGGAGTGTAGCGGGCTGGAGCGTAGTGGGTTGGAGCGTAGCGGGGCGTAGTGTAGCGGGCACTAAGGCAAGGAGGACCAGGAACAAAAAACAGAGTCCAGAAAACAAAAAACAGCCCACCCAGAGTGGGCGGAGGGGGCACTAAGGCAAGGAGGGCCAGGAACAAAAAAAAAAGTCCAGAAAACAAAAAACAACCCACCCAGGGTGGGCGGAGGGGGCACTAAGGCAAGGAGGGCCAGGAACAAAAAACAGAGTCCAGAAAACAAAAACCAACCCACACAGAGTGGGCGATGGAGGAGACAGGCCAGGAGGGCAAAAACAAAAACAAAGTCCAGAACAGAAAACGATCCACTTACGGTTGATGAAAACAAAAGAAAACCCAGAAAAATTCTTTGGCAACGTCTCAGGTGGCCGGTCGTGGCACCGGCAGCGGGACATAGTCTCAGGTGGCCGGCCGAGGTACCGGCAGCGGGACAGAGTCTCGGGTGGCGGCCGAGGGACCGGCAGCTGAAGCGTAGCAGATGCTCAGGTGGCCGACCGTTGGGACGGAGGCGAGGCCGATTCTCAGGGGGCCTACCGCTGGGCCGGAGGCGAGACAGATGCTCAGGAGGCCGACCATGGGGCTGGGGACGAAGCAGCGTCTTAGGGGAACCACCGCCGGGCCGGAGGCATGGCAGAGGTTCTGGAGGCCGGCCGAGGATCCGGTAACGGAGCAGAGTCTTAGGTGGCCGGCTGCGGGGTCGGAGGCGAAGCTGACACTCTGGGGGTCTGCCACGGGGTCGGCGGTGAAGATGACGCTCCGGGGGTCTCCCACGGGGTCGGCGGAGAAGGTGACGCTCCGGGGGTCTGCCGCGGGGCCGAAGGCGAAGCCGACGCTCCGGGGTTCTGCTGCGGGGCCGGAGGCGAAGCTGACGCTCTGGGGGTCTGCCACGGGGTCGGCGGTGAAGATGACGCTCCGGGGGTCTGCCGCGAGGCCGAAGGCGAAGCCGACACTCCGGGGGTCTGCCACGGGACCGGAGACGAAGCAGCTTCTCAGGAGGATGACGCCCACACTTCAGCAGGTACCCCCACGGAGTACCCCGTCCCCTCCTCGGCAGCTCAGGAACAGGCTCCGTAGTGACCGCCGACTGTGGCTCTGGAGGAGGCTCTGAGGAGACTGCCGACTGCGGCTCTGGAGGAGGCTCTGAGGAGACCGCCGACTGCGGCTCTGGAACAGGGTCTGGAAAAGGAGAGCCCGCCGATTGCGGCTCTGGGTCTGGAACAGGGGAGTCCGCCGATTGCGGCTCTGGGTCTGGAACAGGGGAGCCCGCCGATTGCGGCTCCCGGTCAGGAACAGGGGAGCCCGCCGATTGCGGCTCTGGATCAGGAACAGGGGAGCCCGCCGATTGCGGCTCCCGGTCAGGAACAGGGGAGCCCGCCGATTGCGGCTCCGGAACAGGGAGGACCACCGACCGCGTCCCAGGAACAGGCCCACAGGAGACCGCCACCTGCGGCTCCTGGACAGGAACTGAGGAGCCCGCCGACCGCGGCTCCACATCTGGAACAGGAGAGACCACCGACAGTGGCTCCACATCCGGAACATGAGAAACCACCGACTGTGGTTCCGCCTCAGGAACTGGGGAGGCCACCGACTGTGACTCCACCTCAGGAACAGGAGACACCACCGACTGTGGCTCTACCTCAGGAACTGGGGAGGCCACCGACTGTGGCTCCACCTCAGGAACAGGAGACACCACCGACTGTGGTTCTACCTCAGGAACTGGAGAAAACACAGACCGTGGCTCCGTCTCAGGAACAGGGGAGAACACCCATGGAGGCTCATGTTCAGTCTCAGAGGTGGCTTGAAGCGTCTGTAGAGAGGTCTTGGCGGTTTGTGGACCCTGATGAGAGGCTATTGGAGGCACATCTTCACCAACTCCGAACTCTGAAGCCAACTTAAGTTTATGCTCAGGGGTCTCTGGATGGCATAGGGCAGACTCAGGGGTCTCTGGACGGCACAGGGCAGGCTCAGGGGTCTCTGGACGGCACAGAGCTGACCCAGGGGTCTCTAGACTGCACAGAGCTGACTTAAGGCGACGCCGTTTCTTACGCCGAGGGGTCTTTGGAGCTGAGCTAACTGGTTTGTTTACTGATTCTGGCAACAAGTTAACGTGTTGAAAAATTAGAGTTCCAGAACGGATTACTGGTTCAGAGGCTAGAGAATCAGGCAAGGGAACAGGTTTAGAAACGTAGGTGACTGGTTCAGGTGTCTGATCAGGCTGGCGCGGAACTCTAACAGTTTGAGATGTAACTTGTGGGCCTATTTTGAGTCCTTTAACAGACGGAGCTAAGTGACGATCGCGTAAAAGAGAGCTGAGACTAACCTGGCGCAGAACGGAGCTGGATCTGTTTTGTAGTTCAATGTCTAGCCCAATAGCTAGCTCTATGAGGTCCTCCAAGTTAGCTGGCTCATCGTAAAAAGCTAGCTCGTTTCTGACTGGTTCATTCAGAGCTAGGAGATAAGCAGTTTTGAGCGCAGACTCGTTCCACCCAGAAACTGCTTTAACCCGGAAATCAAAGGAAAATTCGGCAACGGATCTATCTCCCTGTTTTGTTTCAAAAAGTTCACCAGAAACGATGGACTTATTTGAGACTCGGTTAAAAGTCCTTTCAAAATCCTGAATGAATTTCTCATAGGTACAGTTAACTCTAATTTTAGGCGGAAATCTGGTCTCCGCCCATTCAAGGGCTTCACCGGACAGAAAAGAAAAGACAAAAGCTATTCTATCCTTATCATAAAGAAAACTAGAATCATGAAATCCAAAAAATAACTGACACTGAAATAGAAATTTCCTGAGCTTACTTGGATTGCCGGAAAATCTCTCAGGCAGAGAAGGGCTGAGTGCAGAAAACGACGGGCTGGGTTCTGACCAGAAAGGAAGATGAAGTGACGTCATTGCCGGTGACCTAGGAAACGGAAGTGGATTCGGAGCAGGACGTGCCGCTGACGTGGCATTACCATTAACCAAGTGGCTAGCGAATGTTTGATTCAGCTGTAACTCACGGAGGGTTTGTGTATGTCCATGGATCTGAGCGTCCCGTTCCTCAATCCACCGACGGAGGTGATCTGTTGGGCTTTGTGTTTGGCCGCAGTGTTCTGTCATGATGGGTCTCTGAGTTAAGCCCAAAATGCAGAACACACACGGAAACGGGGTAAAAGTTAAACAGAGTTTATTGAAGCACAAACACGAGGATCATGAATGAGTTCTGAAACAGGGTTGGGCTGGTTAACTGAAGTCTTGACTGGGACTGGAGACTGTTGGTTAGCAGAGTTCATGTGAAGCTAAGCATCTAGCTTCAGGCTTAGCATAGCAGACCTTGATCTGAGCTTCCAGCTCACTGCAGAGAACAACAGGGATCATCCACATAGGATTCTTCAGGCTGAGCTTCCAGCTCATTGCAGAGAACAACAGGGAATATCCACAAAGGATTCTTCAGGGTGATTCCACATAGGAACCTTCAGGTTGGCTCACCAGGGCAGATTAGCAGGTTAAGCTCTCCTAGAGCTTCAGGCTTGAGACTGGTTTCCTGTGATGCAGCTCTCCCAGAGCTTCAGACCAGAGACAGGTTTCCAGTGAGGCAGCTCTTCCTGAGCTTCAGACCAGAGACAGGGTTCCAGTGAGGCAGCTCTTCCTGAGCTTCAGACCAGAGACAGGGTTCCAGTGAGGCAGCTCTTCCTGAGCTTCAGACCAGAGACAGGGTTCCAGTGAGGCAGCTCCTCCTGAGCTTCAGACCAGAGACAGGGTTCCAGTGAGGCAGCTCTTCCTGAGCTTCAGACCAGAGACAGGTTTACAGTGAGGCAGCTCTTCCTGAGCTTCAGACCAGAGACAGGGTTCCAGTGAGGCAGCTCTTCCTGAGCTTCAGACCAGAGACAGGGTTCCAGTGAGGCAGCTCTTCCTGAGCTTCAGACCAGAGACAGGGTTCCAGTGAGGCAGCTCTTCCTGAGCTTCAGACCAGAGACAGGGTTCCAGTGAGGCAGCTCTTCCTGAGCTTCAGACCAGAGACAGGGTTCCAGTGAGGCAGCTCTTCCTGAGCTTCAGACCAGAGACAGGTTTACAGTGAGGCAGCTCCTCCTGAGCTTCAGACCAGAGACAGGTTTCCTGTGAGGCACAGACAAAGGAGAGATTAGAATCAGATCTCACACTAGAGACAACCAAGATTCAATCTGTAACAGAGGCTCAGGTAGCTAACCAACTAAGATCAACACTGCGGCGTGGAAGCAAGGTCTGGCAGGAGCTTATAAAGGGGAGGTCTCCTGATGAGAGGATTCACAACAGGTGTGCAGGAAGACTCCAGCCCTAGGAGACCCACGGCGCACTCTGCTGGAGACAGAGGGTAATCTCCAGATCCCAGCAGTAACTCCAGTCCTAATGGAAAGAAACAAAGAACAACAGAGGATCCTCGGCGCCCTCTGGTGGGCAAGCCTGAAGATCCTAACACATTGGGCCCTTGATTTTACATTATTACATCATGTTCTACTCACCCGTATGAGTTTTGTGTCATTAGGAGCCGTTCTGAAGATATTCCGTTAGGTTATATCCAGTAACGTCTTCCTATGGGCAACGACTTGAAGCACAAACTAAACTGTTCATCATTTATTCTTTATGGTACGCCAGCATTCAGAACATGTAGGCCAATCACTGCCCCCCAGACATCCGCCGGTATATTTTATATATTTATATTTTTTAAAACAAAGCGGCGGACTGGAGGACTCATTCGGCTATAATCTGAATCATTAAATTCCATTTGGAGAGCGAGATCATCTGTGGTAGCAGCACTAGACATCTTCCAGGACGAATGAATGGTAGCCGACGCACGGATGACGTGTATGACGTCATCTAGGTAAACTAGATACTCAAAAAAAGTTCTTAGGTACAGTAATCCAGTAAATGTAATTTGTTACTCTCCACCGCTGTTATTAAATGATGTTTAAGTCATAAAAATTTTCAAAATGTCACTTTAATAGCAAGCAGTAATTAATATAAACCACCAAAAAGTAAAATGTAAAAAAAGCCAAAGTTTAAAGCAGCGGATCATGATATAAAGTTTTAGTCTATGCACTGAAACACTGGGCCTCAAACTCCGCTTGCCATGACATAAACTGTCAGAGAAAAGATCGCTCTTCTCTTAAATGTTCTTCTATGTGCTGATGGATCGACCCAATCTATTTTCAATAACATTTGCTACAAGTAAAAGATCTCAGGTTCAAAACGGGCGAAGATACTATGTTGTTATGAAAGCTCTGTGTTTATATCCTAAAGCTTTATCTGTCCGGTTCTTTTCCTGAGAAGAGATCACTTGGGACAAATTCTTTAAATAACACTTCATAATGTTTATGTATTGAATAGCCAGGAGACATCACAACCGATTCTGACAGAAATGATCATTTAGTCTCCTTA